ACTGGGTTAAACTGAAAAAGCAACAACATAAGGTACCCTGGAATTTGAACTATAAAAAATAACGTTGTTCCCAAAGAAGACTTTGAAGCAGCGAAGGAGAGAGGGAAGGGAAAGGATTTGGCTTTTTTTTCTTCCCTTCCTTATACTGACAGCTAAGAGATTTAAGTAAGAAATTGACAAAATCCACTTTGATATCAATAGGCATTTAAGCTGAAAATAAAATATCAAAGGGATAATAAATACTTTCAAAAACCTTTAAAAGCAGGAAAGGAGAGAAAAGGAAAGAATAAAAGGGTGGGATCTGGAAAAATGGAGGAGACTGCCTGGAACTAAAAGGAACTTACAATGAAACCTTAACAAGATTCCTAAAAGATACATTCTAACTGAAACTTCGTAACAAAATAATAGAACCCCAGGAAGAGAAAGTAGAAAAGAGAAGCAAGAAGAAACAGCTTTGGATTATTTGGATTACTTGGTGATTTTTGGCTATTGGATTTAAATGACTAAAATCAATTGGGTGGTTGTTTAAAAGGGCATCACTTTTAGAAGAACTGAAAATGGAACTTAAAAAACAGAAAGATGAACAAGAAGGAAGAGGTTCTTTTGGCTTCATATTTCAATTTTTAGAAATGGAGATTTGGAACTATGAGAAACAACAAGAAACACTTGTAGAACAAGAAGGTTGGGACAAAGAAGAAGCCATCTTTAATGGTCAAGTAATTTTATGTGGGGGAAGAAAGGAAAGGGGGGAAAGAGAGTGAAAAGTTTAAGATTTGAAAAAACAACCAAAAAAAAAAAAAAAAAAAGAATAGTTTGAAAAATAATTACAATATTAGGAAGCAACAGAAGAGATGATACTAAAGAGAGAATTAGAAGTAGAGAGACAAGGGGGCAAAAAGGGGAGGGAGATGAAGAGGGGGAAGAAGGAAAGGAAAAGAAGTTATAAAAGACAGCAACAAGATATAGAGAAACAGGGAAAATGTATAAGGATTGAAAGTATAAGCCAATTTAGAGATAATGGGTGAAAATTTAATTGAAAAAGGGATTTTGCAAAGGTACATAAGATAGTATTGTTATATTAGAAATAGAAATAATTTTAGGAAATATGAAACAATGTATGATTAAAATGATGGATAAAATACTTATTGTAATGCAGTGGAATGTTTGTTAATAAATAAATGAAATAAAGTGAATGAGAGAATGAAATTAGGAAAGGATGGGAACATTTTAATAATGATTTATAAAAATATAAGTGAAGAGAAATATGGAAAAAAAGAATTAATTATGGAAAGTTTATAAGTGTTCATAAGGAAGTATGATATTCAATTGAAAAGAAATGTTAAAGATGTTAAGATTCTAACTAATATTAATGATAGAATTGAATTGGAATGGAATGAGTGTTTTATTGACGATATATATATATATATATATATATATATATATATATATATATATGGATCTTGGTTATTCAGGTTTTCTCCCGCGTAAAATTGGAAGTATCTAGGCCACGTTTCGATGAAGTCTCATTCATCATCTTCAGGCTTGTGTCTTTGGCTTTGTGCTTCTCAGAGTAATGTGAGCTTTACTCAGAAGAAGCAGCTGTGTATTTTAAGAATGTTCCAAGCAGAATTCAATTGGAAGTTATGTACTATATTGAATGTTATAATTTTAAAGCCATAAAATGAAGTTTAAATACGAATTGAATGGATAAAATTAAAAGATATAAAGGTGTCATACTCCGATTATTAACTACAGGGGAAAATTTGTTTCATGAGAAAAGATAATATGAAATTGAAACAGGACAGACAAAAGTATAAATATAATGATTGGAAAGACATTGAAACTTAGAAAAAGATATATAATTGAATTTAGATATGAGATAATTAAAAATAAAGTTGAGAAAACCAAGGGAAGGGAAAAATTATGGAGAAAATGTTAAAATAGTAATAAGATATGGAATAGAATACAAAGATGAATATGAAATTGAGTTTGTGTCTGTATGAAGAAGTGATAACCCGGGATCATGCTATTCTCAAAAAAAGATGTTTTATTTGTATTATGTTTTTGTGAAAACCCAAATAAAATTTATATTAAAAAAAATATCAGATAGCACTTTCATTTTTGCTGTAAAGATTAAACCCTATTAGATCATTGTTGAAACAGACCTTGAGGCTACAAGTATTGGAAATACAATTTTATTTATTTATCTATTTATGCAATTTATCCCGGCCTCAATCCAGAAGTATTTTTAGGCAATTTACAGATAGTTTAAAATACAGCAATACAACAATAAACAGTAATAAGAAAAATAATAATGCATTAATACATTAAAATGATATAGGTGTCAGTAGATCCACAACTAATTGATGATTGGTCACCAACAACTTAATTAGTCATATGGCACATGTGAAAAAGCCAGTGTTTTTTTTTTCCCCCTGGGCAACCGGCATGTTCTGTTTCTAAAACAGCAGACTTGTCTTAATAAAGCCAAGAGCTCGAGCATTGCATTAGATGTTTGCTTATTAGGGCATTGTTCAGCTCCTTGTAGCAGTGAAAAGGGACTTTAATACAATCCTTTACAAGCCAATTAATAGCTTTAATTGTCCTACTTTGGCCAACTTGCAGGCAAATGCTAGCTAGACCAGAGCAATAAATTCTGTTGGCTTATAAAGAGATGAACTTAGATTATCTTTGTTGGTAAAAAACGCCAATTCAGAGCTTTGAAATGCGAATTCAGAGTCTAGAAACCACTCAGGAAATGACAGCCTTTTGAAGGAAGGAGTAACTTCTTTGTATATTGCTTAAGAGCTTGCAGAATGAAAGGAAGGATGTGCTGCATCACCTGTTCATGCAAGAAACCTATTCCCAGTATGTAACAGAAATGTGAGCATCTTTTATAAGGCAAGGGGTCTTTAGTTAGAATGTGACTATTTCTGTTCTCAGTCATTGCTTCAATTGCTGAAGCAACTCTCGCAACTCTAAATAAAAGGCAAGTTAAGATTAAAAACAGAAACATAGTACCATAGTATATACATGTATACAGATACACGAGACTGTTGGAGAATAATCAAGCTGGGTTACAAATCACTCTGCCCTGGTGCCTGTTGGAAAAGCTAGGTTGTGGTGGCTTTTCTGAAGGGCAGCAGGAATGGGGCTGTATGACTTCCAAAGGAATGCTATTCCACAGGGCAAGTAGCAGATATTTCTACCATTTTAAATCATTATGAAAAAGCCACTGTGATAGTGATTCAAATGGGAGCTAAGGACCTGGGAATCCAGGCTCAAATTCCCATCCAGAGATAAGGCTTCCTTCAGACTGGGATGAGTTATGGCAACTACTCATTGCTTTCATTGGGCTGATAAAAACAGCCTTGCACCACAAGGTCCACCCCTTTGGAAATGTTCCAGTTAATGTAGAAAGAGATTGGCTTCTGGCACAATGCGGGGACGCTGTTTTTGTCAGTCTGGCAATTCCACTGAAAAAGAAACCTTCAGTTTTCTAGAGAAAAAGATGAGATTAAAACATACTAAATTAAGCAGAACGTCTGCTTTTGAATATTTTCAGATTGTTGAAAGTGGCTTGCTGTTTGTGTGTTTTGCAAGAAACAGAAGCTCAAAGCCTCTTGGCCATGCTGAATCAATTGCCATTTTCTTCAGGTAGGTCCTTTATATGCCAGTAGTTTCTTGAATGTTTGCTTCACGCCCCTCCTCTCTGTGATTTAGGCACATTTCTTATCACTGAATCTCTTCATGGTGTTTCAAGAGATGAAGAAGCAAAAGTTTGTCAGTGTTTTCCTTCTGAAAGGGCAGTGTACAGCAATAGATCGGCTTTAGTAGGCTTTGCCAAATTTATTTCTGGAGCTTGAATATGAAATTGTTCTTTCTGAGTGGTTCAGGGTGAAGCCTAAATGTCACAGAGCGGGCTCTGAATAATAGGATATTCCATCCTCAGCTGTCTAGACAGCAAGTTGGCTCCACCTCTGATTTAATTCGTGTCTTGGATAAGATATTTATTGCCAAAATCAAACAACAGAAACAATATATGTTGTGGTAATCAAAATATTTATAAGAAGCTGCTTGCATCTGTTTTTACTAGCAGTTTCTATGCAATAGATGAGCACGCTCCCTAGCACATATACTCTCTAGCCATGGAGTGGATGATTCTTTGAATTGAATTGAAAATGTTGCTTTGGTAGAAAAGAAAGTAAATGACCTAGGAAACAAAAGGTCCCTCTTACTCACTTGGTACTTTAAACTTGATTCCAGGAACTGATGCTTGGACCCGTGACCAGTAAGCCAGTGGCTCTTTTCAGGCTGCGAATTCTAACAATTAAGAAAAATTTAGGGCTTCTGATAATTTTAATCAGCAGAGAAATATCATCCTATCTGCGTCTCTCTCATACATACACACATTTGTTAAATATACTACACACACACACACACACACACACAGAGTGGTACCTTCGTACTCATCATTAATTGGTTGCAGGAGGTGGCAATGAGTACCAAATAAAATTTTCCCATAAGGAATAATATAGTGAGTCACAAGGCAGTTGACAAGTTCTAGCTTGCGTGTTGAGTACCAAACAAACGATGAATACCGGAACAAAGTTTCCCATCAAAATGCATTCATAATCAAATTCAATCAGTTTCAAAGTACCTGAGTACCAAGATACCACTGTATGTATATATAAAACTAATAAAATGTGAATCATGAATTAGATACAACTTGTATCAGTCTCTTGTTTTAAAGAAAGTTCTTGCAAAACTTTTTTGTCTTATCTACATTTCCTGGTTTTGACATACTAATCTTGTGTAGACTGTGTGTGTATATGATTTTAAAAAGCCTGTGTGATAACTAGACAGATGTACAGTTATGAGCCTTCTAGCTAAGAAAAAGTTAATTGGCTTTCTATGTACAAAGTATAGTTTTAACTGCGTAATATTTTCTTTTTTCCTGATGGACCATATAATTCTAATTTCTACTAATTATGCCTTAGGAAACTCATAAAATCTCATCATGGGAGCTGTGGCGATCGATGACAGTCCGTCTGGAGTTAAAGCCCCAGATGGTGGCTGGGGCTGGGCTGTACTCTTTGGGTGCTTTGTCATCACTGGATTCTCCTATGCCTTTCCGAAGGCCATGAGTGTCTTCTTCAAGGAACTTATCCGGGAGTTTCATGTTGGCTATAGTGACACAGCATGGATTTCCTCTATTTTGTTGGCTATGCTGTATGGAACAGGTAAGCAGCTAGGAAATCAAAGACACATCTCATTTTTTAGAGTATTCTCCTCTAAATCATTGTCATGATTATAGTAAAAATTGGCCAGCACTGGAAAGCCTTATCCATAAGTCATACACATAAGTTCATATGGGTATTTGAAATATGAATTAACAAGGCCTCTTCAATTGCTACGAGGAAGAGATTACAGAAAAAGTAAAACTTAATGAAACCTCAGAAGCACAAACCACTACTTTGTCAAACTTTGGCAGACATTATTTTTAATTTTATTGCAACAGATTTAGTACGATACTTTTAATATGGTAATTATGAATGTATAGTGGCCAAAATTGTGGAAACCTTTTGGGAAAAGTGTATTTTTGAGGTTTGATGGCTAATAACACCACTTTTTGTGGAGTAGTACCATAAAATTATATATCAATGGAAAAATAATTTAATCAAAAATGTAATGCAACAAGGTTTGTTTAATTATCTGTATTCTATGAAAAGTTATAGCCAAATAATGAGAAACAGGAAGCATAACTTGTTTAGGTTGATATCAGGTAGCTTTCCTTCATCTGATTGTAGCCAATGAGCATGAGTGTTTAGAGAGCCAATCAGGTGTCATCTTGTTTTGGCAATGAGCCAATCAGATCACAGTAGGGTTCATTTATTGATATCATGTATTGAAGCTAAGAGGAGGACATTTGTCAGTGTGTTATGTGGTTGCTATCAAGTTCGTTGGATTTTTTTGTGTTCTTTCATTTAGTGAGCTTGTAAAACATAATAAAATTAAAGTAATGGTGCAAAGAGTTGACTGGTTGCCCAGAAAGTGATGTATAATAGTATTATTAAGTGAACAAGGCTACAGTTATACAGAAATTAGATGAAAAATGGATGAAAACTTAACCAAAGGTGGCATTTCTAAGTTTTTGAAGAGGTATAAGGAAACTCAGTTACTACAAAACCACCTGATAAAGGCAGGAAAAAGTGCACAGCAGCAAGTGATGATAGAAGAATTAAGAGACTGTGCCTACATGACAGAGAAATTTGGCCTAAAATCTAGAATTCCACGAAAAAGCCACTTTTATCTCTCAAACTGAGGTTGAAAAGACTAAACTGGGCTATAACCCATGTTACCTGGACAGAGAAACAATGGCAGGGTGTTATTTGGAGTGATGAGACCAAGATCTCCCTGTTTGGTAGTGATGGCATAAAATACGTAAGGAGACACTTTTCCCAAAAGGTTTCCACAATTTTGGCCACTGCTGATCCTGCATACAGGTAATCCTTGATTTACAAATATTCAGTGACTATTTGAAATAGTAATTGCATTGAAAAAAAGTGGTTTACAACCGGTCCTCACACTTATGACCGTTGCAGCATCCCTGATCATATGATCAAAATTTGATTGCATGATTCACTTAACAACTGCAGTAATTTGTTTAAGAGCTGGGCAAAAACGGTTATAAAACGGTTATAAAGCCTTGCTTAGCAATGGAAATGCTGGTCCCAATTATGGTCGTATGTTGAGACCTCCCTAGAATTTATAGTGTCCATATTTTCTTAGAAAAAAAGAAAAAAAGCAGAATGGTTCACAAAGATAAAAAAATTGTTTATGTTTAAAATTTTGCTTTGCAAAGAAAAATTCAAGAGCAAAATCAATAAAATAAATAATTAAAGAAATACAAAGGACAGCTTTCTGAAATAAAGGACATATGGTCACTGTATACTAGAATGGAGTATAGGCTTTTTCCAGCATGGAATTAGTGAGCGGAAAACCACCTTTGCCAAATGAACAGCAATAGCACTTAGACTTATATACTGCTTTACAGTGCTTTTACAACCCTCTCTAAGCGGTTTAGAGTCACCTATTGCTACCAACAATCTGGGTCCTCATTTTACCCACCTCAGAAGGATGGAAGGCTGAGTCAACCTGAATCCTCCAGCATCAACTGTTGACCCAGAAGTATTCTTGCCAAGCTGACAAAGGCTGAAGAAATACAAAATGGCACCATTATTCTGGGCATGTTATATTACAGGAATTTAAGCACCTGTTTATTTTCTTCAGGTCCCCTATGCAGTATGTGTGTCAATCGGTTCGGCTGCCGTCCTGTAATGTTGGCTGGAGGCTTCTTTGCCTCAGCTGGGATGATCATTGCTTCCTTCGCCACTAATATCATTCAGATCTATTTTTCTGCTGGTGTCATTACTGGTAAGTAATAGCAAATGTCTTTAATGTATCGGCAAGCAAAGGGTTAATTTTGCAATGTATAGTGATGGTATGTAATCCCAAAGGTGCTTTTCCAAGAGGCAATTGGACTTTCTGATTTTTCTTTGAAGATGTATTGCTTCTCATCCAAGAAGCTTCTTCAGTTCTCTTCTTGGATGAGAAGCGAAATGTCTTCAAAGTGTGAGATTGTGGCTAAGAAAAACCACCAGGATTCAAAGTTGATCCAAGGAAAAAGGTTTTATTGTAACATTTCTGCAGAAACGGGTTCCTGCCCT